AATAACAAATAACAGCTATGACAGAATTATACAAGTACTTTAGGTGAATTATATTCCACTGCAATACCTGAAATAAATTACTTAATGAACCACAGAAAGTGATCTACCTACACCTGTCTGTACCAAGCACAGTTATTCTGCTTCATGGACCCTCGCTTGTTATTTATTGTTATTGTACCATTATGTTGAGGTCATCGCAGTACTGCTTCCAGTTGTCATTAAACATTCTCTTGATTTGGCCTCAACAGCACCACAGTGAAAAACTATATTTGCTCCTAGATGCTGTACATAATGTCAGAAATACTAAATTCTGTAGAAAACGTGATAGCATCTCAAGAGTTAAGCCATCGTGTGAACCCCTGGACTAAATTCCGCAACAAATTTCCCCGAATAAACTTGCACCAGGCTTGGTTGGAATGGTCTTGGCCAGAATGAAAGAAAGAGAGGGACAGTGCCTGGGAGGTGGGGGTCATCAATATAGATATGACCATACTATAATCAGTATATAAATATAATTAGTACATAATAATAATCCATGCATTTGATATAGCGCCTTATCACGTCTTTGTGACCTCTCAAAGCGCTTCACAGAATATACTGCAGAGTGAATTGATTGTATATTTTGTTGGCAAAACGTGGCAGTCAATTGCACACAGCAGTGTCCCACAACAGTCGTGGATTGAGTGACCAATTTATTTTAAAATTTATTTTGAAGGAATTATTACCCCCAGAAAAGCGTTCGACTAACAACTGGGTTCCTACTTACTGCTAGGTAAACAGAGTCATGTGGAGTAAGGAAACTTGACCAATGTTTCATCCTGCTGGGAATCAAACACAGGTCGTCTCTCTTGCGAGGCGAGTGCTCTAACCACTCACTAAGCTACAGGACTCCACGTTTAAATGAATAGCACACTAGAGGCAGGTCATCTGAATACCTAAAGGGTTTCAGACCACAGAACCTTAGAAATTTGGTTCTGCCTCTACCACAGGCCGTGGAGGCAGATGAGAGACATGAAATGTGATGTAATTGCAAGAGAAAGTATCTAGGGAGCAGCAATCTATGGAAAGGAGCTAGAGAGAGACTGATCCAACCAGAAAATTAAGAATGGAGTAAAAATGCATCTGATCCTCAAACATGGGTGGCAGAAAGGAAGACAATCTGGTGGCTGTAGTGGATGGTGGGAAAGAAGGCCCAGACAAAGAGGAATTTGTCACTATTTTGAGATGAGGGAGAAAGAGTGAAATGGGGCAAGACTTATATCAACTAAGCATGAAGGAAACAACAACAACAAAATTACATTTGTATAGCACCTTTCACGTCAGGAGGACGTCCCAAGGCCCTGGACAATCAATGTTTCGGACCCAAGCTGGGGGTTAGGATCGGGGAGTGGGTGGGGGGGGGGGGGGGTGACTGAAGGCATGGTCGAAGAAGTGGGTCTTGAGAAGGTCTTGAAGGAGGCAAGGGAGGGGGTGAGGCGGAGCAAGGCCATGGAGGGCTTTGAAGGTGAGGACCAGGATCCTCTCTGTGATGGAAACCTCAGGTGGAGGAAAAGGAAGCCACTTCAGGTCCTCCAAATGTAAAGAAATTAATCACCAGAGATTGAAATAGGGTTCTAGAAATCATGCGACACCAGCAGCCAATGCAAACAAGTGATTTAGATAAAAATAGAGAAAACGTCAGTAGTCTTTTGTGGCAGCCAAACATTCATAGCAACGTCGCCTGTTGATCCTGAGATATGAGCTCCTCCTCACTGAGCAGCAGAATTCACCAAGTGTTGGATTGTTCACTGACTAATAGGGAACGTGAGCTCGCTTTCATAGCCCTCCACAGCCTTGCTCCTCCCTACCTCTGTGATCTGCTAACCGGCCTGTCTGCTCCCTCCACTTGGCAGACTTTGGCCTGTTCCACGTCTCCTGCCGGCCTGGCCCACCATCGGCGGTCAGATCTTCAGCCTTTCTGTCCCCACCCTTTGGAACTCCAACCCACAGTCCCTTTGCCTCGCCCCCCGTCCCTTGCCTCCTTTAAGACCTGTCTCAAAACCTTCCCCTGCTGATCCCAACGCCCAGCTCGGGTCCATAGCTTGACTGTCGAGCGATTTGGGACATCCTCCCGATGTGAAAGGCACAATACAAATGTAATTTGTGGTTGTTGGGTTTAGACCGTCGTGAGACAGTAGCAGTAGTTTTATGCTACTAATAATGTTTGTTGCAATATTAATTCTGCTCCCACAGAAGAGTGGGAAGAAATGATAATATTATGTAGTTGTAGGAGTCCATCTCTGACTGTTCCCTTCTATCTAGCGCAATTAGGTTTCCACCAACATCTATTATAGGCACAGATTCTGACAGCCATGGTTCTCCCCCATCCTTATTCTTTTATCAGACACTCATTGTATTGCTGTGAATTTCCGGCTATCCATTCCTCTGATTCTACTGTATACCGAGAAAGTTTAAAGTAAAGATTATTGATGGTACTAGTATTCAGACTTAATTTTGCAGATAGACCATTTTCAGAGATACATTTGATTCATCACCCAGACATTAAATTCAGAGCTTTCCACAAACATCAGACAACTTCACATTTTATATGGAGCTAAAAGAAATCAACTATGTAAGCCATAGTTTAACTGAAATTGCATCAAACTTTATACATACTGCAACAGGGGTTTTTATTACTAATGCTGCTTTTATATTAGGCCACTAGTTGCAGTACAAATAACACTCATGTAGCAGTGCTAAAAATGTTGGGAGTATTCCATTTTTCATTCTGCATTCCCACAGGCCAGGCTGAAATCCTGAGACTATGCTCCTGATATTTTCTTTGGGTCTGAACCTCCGTTATTTAGGTAATCGAGATAAAAGAATCCCAAAAATTCTGTGTATGCAGTCAGCTACCAGGAGTAGCAGAACTGCCAAAAGAGGATCCAGCAGCCAAAATGATTCAATCGCAGTCATTTAAAGGTAGGCCGCTTTTTTTGTTGTTCATTGTACATTATGTCAGGCTGCTGTCACCACCAGAATTATACTATAAAAGGGTATTCATTTTTTATTTTGCACCAGGTGCAAACTCAACTTGATTTTCTACTGCCCACTTGACGAATTAAATCATCAAAGCATAGCTTGATTAAAATTCCATGCTGTTTGGTAATCTCAAGATAAACATAGCCAACCACCCAATGAAAGCATTACGTGATTAAACTACATTTGGTCAATAAAGGCACCTTTCTGTGATAGAATAGAACCCTGTTATATTGAGGGTTCGATTATAGTGTGCAATTGGGGTGTGAACCCTAACATTTACTTAGCAAAAAATCCAAAATGCAAGTAGAGATCCAGTCAGCTCAGTTCAAATAATATTATCTCACTTCAAAACGCCAACTAGTTATTCGTGTGCTAAGAAACGGCCAACCTTCAGGTCATCGGGTTGCCAATAGTTGCTCATTGCACATGTGAAATGACATCAGCAGCAACCCAATGTTCCGAAGTCTGCCATTTTGTTTTAATCACAGAAAACCGTCTGGCTTTCTGCATACATGTGCAAAAGCACTGACTTAAGTTATTCAGTTATAATACACTTAGCGATTTTATGGAACTGAACTAATGCATTATAAAGGAGTTGTATTGTACCATGCAGTTTAGCCACTTCCTGCTTCTCCAAGTGCTTTATTAGCAGAACATCAATATGCTACCCAAAAATAATTATCCTCACACTTCATATAGCATCTTTTACATCAGGAGGATATCTCAAAGTGCTTCAAAGGATTTTCTGTATATCTGTATTTGTACTGCGTATTTGTAGGAAAAAGCATCAGCGAATTTGCACACAACAATGTCCTACAAACAGCTTTGATGTGAACGAACAATTTTATCTGGAGGAACTGTCGGCCAAGACACCAGGAGAAACTCCCTTCACTTTTCAAATAAGTACATTGAAATCTTTAATGTCCACCAGAATAAGTGTATGGGACATCTGTTTGACATCTTATCTGACAGCAGTTCCAACACCCCCCCCACCCCCAGCAACGTACTTGAGTGTCAGCCTATACTATGATTTCAAAGTCCCAACATGAGGCTTGAGTCCACAACCTTCTGACTCAGAGGCGAGAGCACAACCGACTGTCAGACTAACAGTACTCGACATTCCTTTGAGGCGTTTTGAGACATTTTCCCTCCTACTCAAATGCGCAATACAAGTGCAAACTGTTGTTGTTCCTTCAGGCTGGAGTGTACTGCACACAGAGAATCATTGGGCAGTGTGGAAAAGCACATGAACAATGCTTAATTGCTGTACATCAGACATAAAACAACATGAACTGCCTGAAATGCAGCATAGCATCTCCATCCTGGAGCTTTTCAAAGCACTACAAGATGCTCCACAAAGATTTTGTGCTTATCATTGTTTCTGCTTCTTGTAGATTTTCAGTATCGAATTGTGTTTGAATATGCTTAATTTTGTTTACTACATGGTATGCTAATAGTGCAACACCCAACGGGGTAAAATTAGCTTAAAAAAATAATCAGCAACTGTTAACAATAAAACCTCACACTAAATGGCTTATAACTACATTTAACCAGCTTAGTACACAACAGAATCCTGCTTAAAAGGTTTTGAAATGGCTGATATTAAAGATGCATACGAGTGCTGCATGCAGTAGGTAATGGTAGAGAACAAGTGCTCACAAAATGCTGTTGTATAACTGGCTGATTACTGTTCATTTAGAGCAGTGGTTTTCCAGTTACTGTCATTCAGTTTTTCTTATTACTTTCAGGGAATGTAGAATACAACTATGATGTTAGATTGGAGATGTACGATCTCGATTTAAATGTAGCAAATTTAAATTGCTTGTGCACCTGGTCCTGCGTGGCAAAGTTAAACTGACTGAACATTTTTTGATTTCTGTCCAAAACAATTTATATGAAATAATGTACAAAAAAAGATGCATCAGTCAATGTCGATCACTTTTAAATTCACCAGCTTTATCCTCGATTTGATTACATACCCTGGTAAGATCCATGCCGAGTTTCAGTTGAGAAAGGAGGTGAAGGATTACACTACGTTGATCTTCCATAACTCCTAAGTCTTCTTCTACATTGTCTTCAGTGTCTGTCACTTCATCTTCAGGATTTATCACCTCGGGAGCTTGATGCTAGAAAAATGACATTGAATTATTAAAACTTAAGTGGAGTGGGGAAGAAAAACCCTTCAGTCAGTCAACATAGTACTGCTACTTTTGAAGGAACAATCATTTGCTTTATTCCTTCTATTGTGCTGTATTTCTCGTTGAACATACTAAAGAATAGTATTCAAGGAATATTCTTTTAAGTAAGTCTCTACACTCCATTATTCTGTTAACTACATCAACCACTGTACTGCAAATGAAAGGTGGAGAGCTCACCCTGCACGGCTGCAAAACCCTTTTGTTTTTCATCCAGCTCGACCTCATTGTAATTGCAGGTACTGTCAATGAGTTTACTAACGGCAGACACATAAGCTGGCGGCAGTCCCACTCTGAGCTGACTACTGGCTTTTTCCTTTATTTTCCCCTTCACTGGATTGTGAAGTCAATCAAATGTGAAGCCATCCTTTTCATTCATAGTCACATGACCTCGGGATTCACAGCCTTAATTACAAACAGCAATCGCAGGAGGCTCTCAAGCACGTCCATGTGGGTAAGTCTGAAACAATTTCTTCTAAAAGCAAGTTTGAGAACATCTGTTGGCACACGTGGGCATCAGATTTGCAAAAATCCCAGTAATTCTTTTTTCCCCCGCTAAGCACTTCAACATGTTTCGAAAAGCTGACCGTCGCACCGATTTTTTTTCATTAAGAAAAGGCGTGTAACTGTAACCCTAAATTGGCTGCCCAGGCATGAAAGGGCTTTTAATGGAATGAACAGTTAAATGGATGCTGCTGTCATTCAGCAGTGATCAATACAATAGTGTCAATAAAGCGTACACAACCTTCAGGAGATTTTTTTGAACCGCTATTCATTTCCACTGACATTTATTCACACCGCCCACTCAAAATATCAAAAATTAAACAGGGAGCAAAACTGCAGAAAATTATATAACACTTCCAAGTTTAATCACTCTCTGCCAAAAAAAAACGCAATAGCATATCAGAGGCTTAGAAAACATGCAGGCAAACTGGATTTATAATTAGAGCATCAGTCATATTTTTCAAATTATTTTAAGGTCTGTTTGGGGGACACAGAATCTCTCTCTATTCTATTTGGACTCCCCTCATCTCTGACCACCATGACCTGATGATGGTCAAAAGGTCAGGTCGGTGGACCTGCTCTCTGACCTCGGTCATTGCCGTTTTCTTCTAAAAGTAAAGGATGGCCAATTGGCTCATGCAAAGAAAACTACCAATGCCAACTTAGTGCACTGAACAGTTCATTACTGTGCTGTAGCATTCTCTCATTTTAATGTGATCATTAAATTATGAGGGAGAAATGGACGGAGATGCCCAGGGTTGAGTCAGTCTCTATTTCAAACTCTCACATGGAAAAAACGCCCAACAAAAAAGCTCTGAAAACATTCGGAAACACATTCAATGCCACATCACATTGCCCAGAAATCCAGGAGTGTTATACGACATATTCTCAACCATTGTTTATTCTCTCAACCAAGTAGCTTATTTCTTCTCCCCACCCTTCCCTAATGTTTTAAACTCTTTTTAAAGCATTAGGCACACAATAGGACTTCACTCAGCACACTCGTGCATAATGCAAAGCAGCTGAACATTACGGTTTGAGAGTGTTTTGAAAACCTAAAGTTCAGTGTTCAACTGAGAGGAGTGATGCAAATTTGAAGCATATGTACGAGTTCCCAACCTCGACCACTAGAAACAAGGAAATTTACAACAACAACAACTTGTACTTATATAGCATCTTTCCCGCAGGGCAGCGATTCGGAGCACTTAACAATGACAGGGTTTGACACCGAACTGGGGAGAAAGGGGAGGTAACCGAGGTAGTCAAAGAGGAAGAAGGACATTCAGCCCATCGTGTCTGTGCTGGCTCTATAAAGAGCAATCCTTTCAGTCTCATTTACATGCCCTTTCCCATTACCTGTGTAGTGTGTTCCTTTTTAGATATGTAACTTGTTCCCTTTTGAAAGCTAATATGGATTGTGCCTCAACCATCGCTCCCGGCCGAGCATTCCATATCCTAACCAAAAAAATTCTCCGAACTTCCCCATTTGTTAGCTATCTTACATTGATGTCCTCAAGTCACGGATTTATTGACCAGTGATAACTTCACCCCATTGACTTTAACCCCTCATAATTTTAAAGACCTCTTTTGTTAGAACGAAAGGTCATAGACCTGAAATGCTAACTCATTTTCCTCTGTCCATGGATGCTGCCTGACCTGCTGGGTGTTCCCAGTGACTTCTGTGTATATAACTCCATCTGCAATAAGACCCTGGCCGTCAATGATCTCATCCTCGATGAGAATGTTGATAATATGGCCCTCACGGAAACCTGGATCACCCCAGGTGGCACCTTCCCCCTCACTGAGGCCACACCATCCAGCTATATCTACCACCATGCCCCACGCACCAACCATCGTGGCGGTGGGGTGGCCCTCACCTCCAGGGTGTCACTTGCCCTATCCCCCAACTCCGCCGGTTTATTTCCCTCTTTTGAACACCTTGCCCTCTACCATCCCTCCCATCTCTCACTAAAAATTCTCCTAATTTACCACCTCCCAAAATCCTCCCCCACCTTCATCTCTGACATCTGATGAAGCTCCTACCGCTTCATCATCCTAGGCGACTTCAACCTCCACTTCACCCCCTCCTGCTCCATCGCCTCAGATTTCTCCGCTCTCCTCTCCTCTCTCAACCTCTCCCTCCACATCCACTCTGCTACCCACGTTCACGGCCACCCGCTCGACCTGGTGATCTCTCAGCGTCTCGGATGTCACCATCACCGACAAGGCCATTTCTGATCACCATTTCATCTCCCTCAACTCCTATATCCCTCTCCCCACTGCCTCCAAACCTACCACCATCTCCTACCGCCTGTGGAAGAAGATCTCCCCACAATCCTTCTCCATTGCCCTGGAGTCTTCTGAACTCCTCCCCCTCTGGACCACCTCCCCCACCAACCCATCCTCTGCGTTAACTCTCCTTCACAACATCCTCTCCACAACACTCAATGCCCTTGCCCCCATCACCCCCCGAACTGCCTCCTATTCCCGATCCTCACCCTAATTCACCAGCCACCTCCGCTCGCTCAAGTGCCAGGTGTGGGCTGCCGAATGCACTTGGCTCAAATCTGGCCTAACGGTCCACCAGCACATCTGGCTGGAACACATCAAAACTTACCGCCCTACTCTTGCCTCGGCCAAATCGTCCTTCTACTCCAGATTAATTCTGCCAGGCTCCTGTTCTCCACCACCAACCTGCTCCTCTGCCCTCCCCGCCACACTTCTCAGATTCTTTCCTCCGACTACCAGAAAATGCTGGACTTCCTCGAGTCCAAAATCGAGGGAATCCGCTCAGCTGCCACTGCCCTCCCAACTTCCACCCCTTCCCTACCCACCCCCACACACTCCGACCACTACCCATCCCTCCTTCCACACCTTTGAACCTGTCACCCCCTCCTCTGTCATCACCACCATATCCTCCATGAAGCTCACCACCTGCTCCCTGGATCCCATCCCCTCTCCTTAAATCCCAGCTCCACCTCCTTGCCCCACTAATCGCCGACATCATCAACCTCTTCCTGTCATCTGGCACTGTTCCTACCCCCCTCAAAACAGCCACTATCACCCACTTGAAGAAACCTACCCTTGACCCATCACAGCTATCCAGCTGCCTGCCCATATCCCACCTCCCTTTCCTGTCTAAGGTCCTTGAGAGAGCCATTGCCTCCCAGCTTCGCTCTTTCCTCTCATCCGACTCCCTCCATGAGCCCCTCCAATCGGATTTCCATGCTGCCAACAGCACGGAAACTGTTCTGGTCAAGGTTACAAATGACATCCTGGCCATGTGCGACTAGGGCTCCCTCTGCCTTCTCGACCTCTCTGTCGCCTTTGACACCGTGGACCACTCAATCCTCCTCCACTGCCTCTCCTTCCACCTCAGCCTTCAAGGTTCTGTCCTTGACTGGTTCAGGTCCTACCTTTCACACTGCCTCCACTTCATCTCAGCAAACAGCTTCTCCTCCAGCCCCCGCACCGTCTCGTGCAGTGTTCTTCAGGGCTTGGTCTCCTCCTCTTCACCCTCTACACGCTCCCCCTTGTTGACATCGTCCGCAAACATGGGGTAAATTTCCATATGTATGTAGATGACACCCAACTCTATCTCTCTGCCTCCATCCTCAACTCCAGGACTACTGGCGTCCTGACCGACTGCCTGTCCGACATCAGTCCTGGACGAAGGACAACTTTCTCCAACTGAACGTCAGCTTCCTCCCTTGCCTCCTTCAAGGCCAGTCTCAGGACCCTCCTTTTCGATCGTGCCTTCGGTCGCCCTCCCACGATTCAGACAGATGTCCTTCATTTTTACAATATTACAAATAGTGCAATTGACATGTCCTTGAAATCAGCAGCAACTATCATTCCAGCATATGAAATTGAGGGACATGGAAGGTGAAAGGGCTATGCAAATGCAATCTTGACATCCAGCAAAAGTATGAATTCAAGATCCTCATCCTCACCTACAAGGCCATTCACGGCCTTGCTCCCTCCTACCTCTCTGACTTACTATCCCCCTACTTACCTGCCCATACCCTCCGTTCCTCTGGCTCCGGTCTGCTCCACATCCCCCGCCCCAACCACCCTACCATCGGTGGTCGGGCCTTCAGCCTCTCAGCCCCTAGGCTCTGGAACTCTATCCCCCAGTGCCTTCGCCGCCTCCTCCCTTTCCTCCTTCAAGGCCGGTCTCAAGACCTTTCTCTTTGACCGTGCCTTCAGCTCCCCTCTCGACTCTCTACCCCCTCCTCGCTCCCTCCCTTCCCTCCCCTCACCCTGACCATTTCCCCCCTGCTCGGGTCCTGACTCAACTGTACAGCGCCTTGGGACGTCCTCCCGACGTGAAAGGCGCTCTATAAATGAAATGTTGTTGTTGCTGTTGATGAGGGCAGCAGCCAACTGGATATCCCAGATATCAGAGATAGCCTGTTGCCAACCTC